GGAAAGAAGTCGAGGGAGAGGCGGCGGCCTTTGTGAGGATTCGGCCTTGCAGACTTCCTCTCTCTCTCTTCTGCGAGTCTTCTTCTTCTTCTTCTTCTTCTTCCTGTTCTTCTTCTTCTTCTTCTTCTTCTTCTTCTTCTTCTTCTTCCGGCGGCCTCATTGATCCGAGTTCGAAGTTGAGGGGAGGGGGAGGGTGAAAAAGGAGAGGATTATCCGCGAATTAGAGTCGAAAAGGTGGAGGGATCCGTCCGGGGGGATAATGAGTTATGCTCTTTCGATGAGTTATGCTACTTCTTGGCGTCGTCTTTGGATTTATATTCCGATGGAGGGGGGAGAGGACCTTCTCTGGAGCAAGTCTGGGAAGAATTGTTCGACGAGGAATGTGGATGAATCTGTAAAGATGAAATTGGGATTCCTTTTTCCTTTTTTTTTTTTTTTTTTTTTTTTTTTTTTTTCAAGAAAATTGTTTTAAGGAGGACTGGCAATAAATGATCTAATAGTGCAGGATTTTTTTAAAATTAGATCGTGATAACATCGGAATTATTTAAACAAGATTAGTAGATTGATTAATAATTGGAAAGTGGTTTCGGTAAAATTGATGTGATTTAAATGATATTAGTAGAATTACGAAAAATCTAAAATAGACAATTTAGATAATAATTGTTCACCTATCATCAAGATTTTTGAATTAATGCCGAGCACACAGTATAGTATTTTGCAGCCATAAATTATTAATAATTATCCTCGATCTCGAACAATATATTAAAATTTTCGAAATACACCTCTACGATATAAACAATTTCTTCCAATTTTCCAAAAATGTCCAATCGTCAAAAAAGGACGGGATTAAACGTTCAATCTAAAGCGAACAATAAAAAAAAAAATGTGATGAACGAAGCAAAACCGGAAGCGACGATGCAGAAACGTGGACGTATTTAACCGGAAGTCGGCCGGAATAGAGATCTGGAATCTATTGCAAAATAATAAGTTATCTGCCGGCGACTTTTGCCGACGTGTCCTCCTCCACCGCTTTCCTTCCACCCCCTCGGGTTACCTCATTATTTCTAACTGATGACGCCATAATTCAGCTTCACGCGACGTACAAGAAAATGGACTTCCCCTCGTCGACGACTCGTGGCTGTTCCACCACCACCATCACCACCACCCTTCGTTCTTCGAGGGTAGTAACAGCGACAACTGGGGGTGTCTGGCCCCGCTATTCCGTCCAATTAAATGCCTAATCAATTATCTGGCGAAGGGGGTGAAGAGAAGAGGGAGAGTTGGCGCCCTTTCTTGCTCCTACCTCTCGAAACATCCGTCCTCCTCCTCCTCCTCCTCGAGGACTCTTCCTCGTCCTCGTTATACCGCGAAGAAATTAGCGGAGGTGTCAAGGGATCACCGTGGCCAACGTGTTTCCACCGCCTCGATAATTAGCCCTAAGTTGGGGAGGGAGAGGAAGAGAATTCGCGGAGGACTCGTGTCTCCAACCTGTGAAACGACGTTGTTCCTGTTGCAGAGGGTGTGGGTGAAGAGAGTTTGGAGAGAGTGAGTGTTTTGTAGGAAATAGTTGAGCCTTCGTGGATTTGGCGAGTTCAATTAATTTTGGATGGATCGGTATACGGGGGTAATGTTGAAATTGTTGCGAGTAAAAACTTCTTCTATTATCTTCTATCATTATCATTAAAGAAGCTTTAATGAAGAGTCACAGTTTCTCTTCGACAACTAAAGGAGAAAAATTTTTAAAAAATTCATCTTGTTCGAGCTTCATTGCAACCTTCTTTCTCTTCTACTTTACTAATAAGTGATTTGTGTATAAGATATTTTTCTCGAGATCTTAAAATCTACATACGTATGATTAATTACTGAAAATTAATATTTTGCAGAATGCTCGTTAACAATGTTTCATCAACGAACATTTTCGAAACGTTTCAAAGTTGGAGATGCGAGGATTACGCGCGATCTCAACAAATTTGGCAAATCCAACGTTGCCAACGTTGGTTCCATTGATGATGGCGGATACTAATTAGAACGGTCTGGGAAAGGAAAACGGTTCCCGCGATGGGAAAGGCCCGAAGATGAGAGCCCCATAGTTGAAGATAGAGATGGCGTGGGAGGTAATTTAGATATCGTGGGTGGTAGGGAGAAATTTAGTAAAGCCTTGACCATGCTCATCTGCCCGCTCTTTCCGTCGCTCCGACCCGAAATTAACGCTTTGTACGCGGCCTCGAAACTGCGAAACACCGCGCGGTAACGCCTGTGTGTACTGGCCGCTTCATTAACCTCGTTACAAAGAACTCTTCCCCCTCCCCCTCTCCTTTTTTCCACGCTCCCCTCCTCTTTCCTCCTCTTGTATTCTTGGCCAACCACCCTTTAAAGCTTTTCCTCCTTCTTGGGAGTGGAGGTGGCCGGGCCTTGAAAAGGTCTCTCGAGAATGGGAGGGGAGAGAATTACGGAGAGGAATGATAATGTTTTAGAGAATTTTGAAAGGGAGGACGTTTTTATGGGAAATTAATTTGCCAACATTAGGGAGAAATGCGAAAACAAGAACCGGGAATATAATACCGCTTCTGTTATTTTTCGTTTTATGAAATTCTTCAGTTCGATCGTATATTTTTTTATTTCGTTAATATATTTCTCGAAAATCTCGAGAATATGCATCCAAAATATAAGGAATAAAATAAAATTATTTATTTTTATATAATATCGCAATATCTTTAACTCAAAATAATGATTCGGATAACGGTTAATAATCTTCATTAAACGGCAAGTAGGAAAAACCATTTACTGGTTTATATCCAATAATAATCTATAAACGGATTTAACCATACAAAGAATAAATTCTTCCGTCCAAGACAAATAATTCTTCTAATACCAACCCTCGAAATTAAAATTAAGAAAATTAAAATTCATCGAACGACAATTATCGTTGTTACAACTTAATTATAAATAATCATTATAAACACGATTTATAATCGAACGTTAAAAAATGATCCCAAAGAAAATAATTCTAATGATAACAGCATAAATGAAATTATCGTTTATCGCGAATTATCAACAATATTTGCAACAAAATTGTGTAGTATCTTCGTTATGGAATCGTGATCGAAGAAAGTTTATTATCGAAGACGAGTCGTTAATCGTTGAATTACAGGGAGGAGGACGTGTTACAAAATTCGGTTGGAAATCAATGGATCCTGGCCCGGATTAAAATTTTCACCCGTGTATAACGGTGATTTAAGTGAGAATGATTACGCGCGTCACGCGTAATACGGGGATAATTGCGTTTCGTGCGGGACTTAATGGAGTTACGCGATTTTAATTATACATCTCGTCTCCCCCTCCTCCCGTTTTTCTCTCTCGTGTCTCCTTGCATCCTTCGAGCGCCGATTTTTCATCGCGACTTTTATTCGTTTCCGTTGGAGAGGAAACGGGTATGTACTCGTTAATTACGGATTGATGAAGACAAGTTTGTTCGCGTCTCTCAAAAACGGTGGAATATCAATCCAGGAGGGGGTGAAATTTATTCGAATCCCCTTTTTCTCCCCGGAGAAATTGATTTATTCGGTTGTATTTAAACATTCGTGTATATAAAAAAAAATTGAAAACTTTCATTCACAAGGAGAGATCAAAATTTCGGCAATGTTAAAATAATGGAATTGTAAATATTT